ATATATATATATATATATATATATATATATATCCGTCGTGTTGCGTCGCACAACAATTTATGCGAGTGCAGCTAGATGTCCATAATTAAAATGACAATGATGTTATATCAATAAAGTTGCCGTTTAGTCATTACATAAGTTTTTTTATATTGGGAAATGATTCTTATATATCATTTTTTCTCCATACACACTAGTTTATGTTTTATATGATTGTACACCACAAAATTTTGAAACATAAATTGTTATATATGGAAAAAAATCGTTCAAAGAGATATTACAATGTAAACATTAAACATTAAATAATTTAATCTACTTAGATATATGAAGATTCTCATAAAATGAAATGGTCCATGTTAATTCGACCTATTCATTCTCTAATTTGCCAGCTTATAGTCCATCATTTTAACGCTAATCACGTGTTGAAAATGCTAAAGATAATTTAATATTGCATATATTTCATTAATTATCAAGGCCAAAACAGGAAAACACATATCATTCTTGGAGCACAAAGATATTTTCCATTTACAACACTTCCTGTACTCTTATTCCCTTGGTAATTTGCATCTATAGCAGTCCACTTTACTTGCAAAGTTATGTCCTCTACACCTGTTCAGAAAAATGAAAATATCGGTATATCAATAAGAATGCTAACAAAAATCTTATATACAAACAAATTTTTAATTTAAATCTTTATGGTGTATATATGTGATTATATTTTACCTGTTGCACATCCAATCACCATTTTTCCCTCCTGGAAGAATGCTAGCATCGTAAGGATAACTAGACGTTGTGTATGTCATCATCATGATATACTCTTTGTGTGCACCACATCTATAACACTCACTTCGGTTAGCAAAGTTGTGTGCTTCACAACAACAGTACCAGTCACCCGCCAGTACCTTTGATTTGTTTGCATGAGTTGAAATCTCAGCGGTTGTAGCGAACTTGGGACACTGACATCTTTGACAGGCATCACGTTTCTTGAAGTTCGAATGCTCACATGCACCACATATCCAGTCTCCACTGCTCATTCTAGTGTCTAGAGAGTTCAAAAGCCTGAAAACACCAAAAAAAACATTATAGATATATGATACAAATTTTTACTCATTTATGTCCCTTTTGTGAAAAAGAACATTTTCTCTATTTTTACTAAGATATTAATGTTTGTTCTAAGGAAAGCTAGTACACAAATAATCAAAAATATCACTAACCAATGGGAGAAGATTTGTATATATGTATATGTCAAAGGCGATTGTAATTTTCTCAAAAGAGCCTCTAGGGTTTATATACATGAAAAAAAGCATCCAAAAAGTGGGATGACATGTAAAGTATACTAAAAAAAATCTTTGAAATTTTTCCTTTGAAAGAAATAACTTGATAGAAATTAAAATTCAATTCGATCTTTGTGAATGTTTAAACATCATATCATTCAAAAAAAGGGGTTGTATAATAAAATTAAATGATTTAACATTGAATAAATTCAACACTTTATTTATTCATTTATTTTAACCGTTTAGATCTTGTATAGAAACTTTTCATTCCTACGGATGTTGTTTAGTGGTTGTATCAAAAGGTGTTGAATACAAGTCGATACAGAGATGATATCTAAATAGTTACATGCAGGGGTTATCAAATAGTCTTATTTATAAATGTTAGAATGCTATAAAAAATTTTAGAAGAAAACCTAATGCCATTGTTTTCAATATCGTTATTATTTGTTTTCTTGCAAATTTTCAACTTAAATTTATGTGTTCATTTATTATAGGGAAAATTGCATTAAATAGTAACATTCATATTTTTCTTATTTATGAAAATAGTCAATATATTCTTTTACTTATAATATTACCATCTGTTTTTAACATAATAGCAAGTTATAATAGCAGCATATATATATATATATATATATATATATATATATATATATATAT